TGTGTTGTGACGTCATCAGGCGGGTCACGTGCTCTCTGTGATCTCGCGAGAAGCGGCGGGATTTGAGCAGAGCCGGTTTAACGGATCGGTCAGTTAACGGAACCAGTATTTATTTAAAACCCGCCTAAAATAAACCGGTTCCAGGTTCTGGAGGTTCTGTTTTATAGCTGGACCCACATGAAGCTGTTTATAAACCCGGTTCGGTTCTGGACTCGGGTTCTAACGGACCGTGGACCTGCTAACAGCTTGTTTTTATCATCGGCATCCATTCACCGAGCTGAGGCTGCAAACTGGACCTGAACCGRCCCGGTTCGGTTCTGAGGACCGTCTCTGGGTCAGGTAACCTCCTTCATGGTGGAAGGTTCTGGTTCGGGGCTGATGGACCGACCTGTGACGTGGTGATGTGGTCTGGGTTCTGAAGTGACCGAACCCGCCCGGAACATGATCCACCCGCAGGGTTCGGTTCTACCCCGCGTGCTGGGCAGGGTGTTCTGTCAGTGTCGGTCCACAGAGACCCCCCCGGGACCCGGACCCCCTCAGTCCGGGGACCAGGATGATCCGTCCTGTGAGATGTGCGGTGGTCCGGATCAGCACCGGCTGAAGGTTCTGTTCCAGGTTCTGGACGTGAACGGGGACGGAGGGATCTGTGTGAACGACCTGACCGTGGGACTGAAGAAGCTGGGGGTCCACAGGACCGAGACCGAGCTGAGGGTGAGTGGACCGGTACCTCTTGCCCGCATCAAACACCAGAACCGGACCGGACCTGGAGTCCCCCCTTCATGGGAGGGTTCGGGTCTGTAGGTCCACGGACCGGGCTTCAGGTGTTTCAGGACGTCCGGTTCGGTCCTGACTCGGTTCGGTCACGTGTTGTTGTTGAGATCAGCAGCTAGTTATTATGAAGCAGACCCAATTAACGGACCGGAAGTGACCGCTGTTTGCTCCAGTTTCACTTCCGGTTTGCTTCAGACCACCTGTCTGTACCACCCACCTGAAAACTTACAGGAAATACACTGTTTACCTGTTTGTTTACCTCTTTGTTTACCTCTTTGTTTACCTGTCTGTTTGTTTACCTGTCTGTTTGTTTACCTGTTTGTTTACCTGTGTGTCTGTTTACCTGTTTGTTTACCTGTCTGTTTGTTTACCTGTCTGTTTGTTTACCTGTCTGTTTGTTTACCTGTGTGTTTGTTTACCTGTGTGTCTGTT